ACTATTGACAGTTAAAATTACAAACATGGCAGCTAAAATTACAAACAAATCTCTCGTGTGAATCCAGTGTTACTCGTGCTGAAATTCAATAACAGTTCATTAATAACTGCTTAGTACTTCTTAGCCAACCTCGGACGCTAGCATCCTTTGAGTTTTGCTGCCAAATTCTTATATTATGGTTGCCACAATTTATTTTTGGCATCAATCATATAAACAAGTTATTAATGCCATTAAGAATATATGATTTACTGTTATTGATGTTGTAATAGATGTATGTATATATATGCATTAATGCATGTAAGTAAATACCACAGCTAAAAATAAAAAATATTATTTTTTAAATCGATTTTACGAATAAAATAATTGAAAAATGCAAAATTTTATTAAGATCGAATCAATTTAGCAGAATTTTATTGTTACGAATACAAAAAACAACCTTATCTCACTTTTTAAAATATCCTTTAAAAGCAAAGATGAAGCTTAAAATAGGTTAAATACGATTTTTCGCTACTACGTTCCTATGGCCAGACTCTCGCCTTTATAAATGCTTCTTGACCATTCTTGACCAAGCTTGACCATTCTTGTATTAATTATTGCAAGATTCTTCTACCGATTATTACGAGGATTTGTGAATTCAAAGCAGCTTTTTTACCTAATTGATTAGGATTCGTTCCTATGCTCACATGATTAAATTGAACCCTTAAGTATTTTAATTATTATTAGATTTATATAAGGTAGTACGAGTATCAACTTTATAACCACTGATTAAAGTGAGAGAAAAGTCATCTGCGCTTAGAAAGTCAAAAATCTTGGCATCACAATTCATACCCAATATTCTGATATTTGGTAGTTTCCAAATATCATTCAGCGAGGTGTCTGGAGAGCATATGTGAATAGACTAAGTTCTTCAATTGTAATTGTAATTTATAGAACATGTCATAATAATAATAATTCTGATCTTTCAATATTGGTAATCTTTTAATAATCATTTTAATTTTTTAAAAGTTTTTTAAGATCCAAGTTCTTGCTTATGCCTAAATATTTCAGTTAATTTTACAAATGGAATATCACGGATTTTTTTATACTGATGTTTACAATGATTTTCTTTATATTGATACATATCTATTTTTGCCGCTACTTTAATTCAACTCCTAATTCTTTTTTCAAAAAAATGTTCCAGTTTCTCAAATAGGCAAATATTTACACTTGAGTACTTTCGACTATCCTTAAAATTTTGAAATCAACATTGCTTTGAAAATATCTTTTCAGCTTACTAATTTATTTCTTTAATATACTAATAATAATTTATTGGTGTACTTTTCAATGATAGTTTAATACTTTTGATCTTCATCGATCTAATAAAACAATTTAATTATTCTTGTATTTATAATTTCATTATAGTTTTCTCTTTTATTTCTTACTTCGCCAAAGTAAATTTTTTAAGAACAAAATCGAAGAGATAGGCATAGTTTCTAATGTAAATAATTAAAAAATGTTGTTAAAGAGTCAATTTTTCTTGATTAACTTGAAATTATTACAAAGGTTATTTTTTTGTGCATATTTCGTAATTTTTTCTCGAATCACCCGAAATTGCACGACTCAGCTATGATCCTGTTGAAATATAATGGGTCGTATACTCTCTATGTATTGGTAACTCTACATGATACGACTAAGATGAATAGTCATATTACGTGTGTATTGAATCCTTCCATGAGCTTCTGTCACATATCACGTAAATTAATCAGCTAAACTTTCATATTTGAAATGCAATATTAAAATTTTTATATCTTTTCGTTTCTTTCAGATAATGAACGCAGAATACGTGCCAATGATAGAGAATTTAATGCCCAATTTAAATATGCTGTAAGTACTTGTAAAAATATTTTATTTAGATTAATACGTATATTTATAATATAATTTTATATATTTTTAAATTGACATAATTCATATTTTTTTCTTATAACATGCTACGTTTCATTTGTTACATGTATACAGTTTTACACAAAACTTTCAAATATATATTAGAAAAAATGGTGGTACAGTTCAAGATCTATTGGTTATATGTCCTTTAGACACGATGCATAACACTATGCTTGTCTGGCTCTGGGCTCGAATCTCACTATAATTTAGTATCAAAAAAAAAATATTTAAAAACTGCCTGTTGGTTCTCACTCAGGAATAGACCTTGAAGAGCTCTATAATTCGCAAAACTTACACTACCATTTAATTTTGTGTGGTATCACTAGAGTCTAATTGGTCTATAAGCCAATAGATCGTGGTTTACGGCAACGAAACTAGCCTAACCTAACTCATAAGTTCTTTATTAGTTTTCAATATGGATTCAATAGAGCTTCAGAATATTTACCAAAATATATAGTAAAAGACTCTTTTACCATGAAACTAGATTATAGTTAGTTTTTTACAAAGAGTACATCACTCCTCAGCAAAAAAAAAGGCCTAAACTCGTTGGCAAATTATAAACGTGTTAATCGATATCTTAACTTACGTTAAGATCTTAACAAGATATATTTACTTTAGTTGACAAAATGTCATTTCTGTCATAAAATAAAATTTTCTGTTGGAATTGAAGACCATACCTCAGTAAGCATACGAAAAATATAAGAAACCCGATGGCGCCTATGGTTGATTTTTTGTTTTATTTAATATTTCCCAATACTTTGTACACAGAATGAAGACTGCCAGTAACACGGATTAAATCCAATCGATTGATACGTAGACATACGTTATTAAATTTAGAATATGCTTATCTCAATGATAGCGACTATATTTTATCGGCGAAAAATTTTAAGTACAGGGAATCTATTATTTTATTCTTATTTAGATATCTTTTCACTATCTAATCTCAGAGTAATCACTGACCACACGAGGCGGTACGCAGATCTTAGATCAGTCATTGAATAATCACGAAGCTTATGAGGAATACACAAATTAGTCAGTGAGATGGGTGGGACTCTGTACAAACCTCCCAACTATCAAAGAGTAAAGGTGCCCAAGGTTTATGCAAAAAAAAATATTAATTATTAACTAAAATTATATTGTACTTTGTTAATATTATATGTTCAAATAAATTTTATATATAAATATATGTATATAATTTTAATTTCATTAACCAATTTTCAGGACAACTTCATTCATACATCGAAATACTCGCTGCTGACGTTTTTGCCACTTAATCTTTTGGAACAATTTCAACGTCTTGCCAATTTTTATTTTCTTTGCCTTCTAGTACTGCAACTGATACCAGCGATATCCTCACTGACGCCAGTAACTACGGCCATACCATTAATTGGCGTACTAACGCTGACAGCTGTTAAGGATGCCTACGACGACATTGTAAGTATCTAAAAACATTTCAATTTTCCCTATTCGTTGCCTGACCCGCCTTCCGTTTCAAATTTCCTCTGCTAATTTTAAACGTTTCCGAACTTGACTTAGTACTCATCTACCACCTTCACGTCATGTTGTTATTCCGTCATGCTTACATGTGGTCTTTTCGTTAATCATGAACACAGGCTATGACATACGAGTCTCTATGCCTCTATGCATGCGAGCTGGGAATGTAGTGCATTTGCTCGTTGCCAAGGCACTTATTTCTGGGCTCGTGACTTTTACTGCTTTGCGCGCTTTTGACATTGACTTCTTCTGTTAATGGCAATGTGGAAAGGATTAGAATAGGCAAACATTAATGAGAATTTTTAAAATCATTTCACAATAAGTTTGGAAAATAATTTGGAAAAATTTATTAAAATTTAATTATTATTTTTTTTTCTATTTTAAATAGATTTATTTAAGAAAATATTTATTATCATCGATCCATTTTCGTTTATAATAAAATAAAAATGTATGTGCTACTAATATTGGGGATATAGCCAGAATACTGGTCAGGGGCGCAAGGAATAGAACTCCCCCATATAAAGCAAAAGTAAAGAAATTTTTCCCTGAAATAATCAATAAAGTTCAGCTAAATTTCTCTTTTTCTATTATTTACGAATATAATATTACTAAAAAAATGTCATACCCAAAACTTTCTAGTTCATACTCATGCTTATACCGCTCTCCTCGGTCCATCCATGAGTCATTATCTCATGGATCCTATTTTCAATATAAAATATGACATAGGACACACATATGCCGTCTCCCTTTACTATGTCTATAATTAATGCTCATATCAATATATTCTAACACTTGCAGTCTAAACACTATATACGAACTATTCAACTAATAGGTATTTTTATATCTACTAAGAATGTACATATCGCAAATAGCTCTATGGACAGCCCAAAATATTCAATTGGTTAAATTTTAAGAAATTTTTACATTTCAAAATTTGGATAAAATGAATTATTATTATTTATTTATTTCATTTTATTCTCAATGTTTAATTTTATTAAAGGAATGTTAAAATCAGCTGACTAATCCAAATGACTCTTTAAATCAGCATACGTCCCGCTAATTCTGCCAAAAACTCCATCCATGAAACTACGTCCATAAATTTTGAATTCAACATGAAAGAATCTGGTTTTAATTTCTCTCTTATTTAGTGCGTGGAGATTATATCATTACTATAATGATATAATCCCGGTTCGGACCTTTCATGCTCCGAACTTAGCATATACTCCATAAAAATTATCAACCGTAGGGTTCCCTTCAAAAGCAACACTCAGGCTATTCCTCACTGCACTGTACGTTCTAGTAATAATAAAATAAATTGCTCCATGTTCAATATAAAAAAAAATTGTATCTTTTATCAAGAAATAAACTTTTATTGAAAAAATTATAAAGTTCCTTTTATCTAATTTGATACCTTCATATAATTTATGAATATCACTCGAACAGTATACTAAATATGTAGCATGCTATATTTTAGTTTAAAAAAA